TTCTTCGAAAGCAACACTACACGTGATCTCACCTGTAGAACATGCTAGTTAAGCAACACAATGACTAGACACTTTCGTCTGAATCTGGTTGTGTGCAAACATGCATACAACACAAAAAGGGTGCGAGAGAGAAAAAACTATTCCTGAAATGAAGAGCAAATCAAAATATATTAGAAAGGGGCAATAAAAATCACAAAATAAACTTTTAAAATGTGATGGAACTTGATAGTGTTAAACAATTTTCCAATGTGGACAAGCTTCCAACTGCATCAGCTGGAATGTTAAGCGAACAACGCAAAACCATCAGGAGCTGACAGACTACGTAGTAACAAAGACAATATGAATGTGACTATTGATATATGGCAGATAAGACATTTATCAAGTTGTAACTGTGCGCATAAATGCATTTGTGTGGACTGGCGCTGCTTTTAAACACAGCGGCCCACCTAAAGCCATTTTTACTATTTTCACTAACTATGTTACCCTTCCCTTTCAGAATTAAACTCACCCTTGCAGTTGTATCCTAAAAGCCAACAGTGCTTGCAGTGGAGTTTCGACTTTTAAGGAAAAACAGTGTTACCACATATGATTAGTAAGTATAATTATCCAGCTTAAATAATAGTTCTTTGTAGCCTTATTAAATATTTAAACTTTTTCAGTGCCCAAGGTGGTAAACGATGCCCCGAAATGCTGACAAAAAAAACTGTTTTACCTTTTTAAATGACATGAATGATGGGCACCGGCCCCGTTTCAACGAAAATCGATGGCCAACTTATCAAGCAGAAAATGATTGCCTTCCTCTCCTATATTCTCACGCTCTGACGATCCTATACATAAAACTCAATCTTAAAGTTATTAATATTTGTTACAAAGCCAATGTCAGACAGGGGACTTAAAGCAGCCATCCTAATCAAGATATAATAACCATTATTTGAAGAATAATAACAATAACATTTACATGTCAACTCAACTCAGATGACTGAGTGCAAGAGGTGCGAAAGAGACACATAAGAGCTGTATATTTGATTTTTAAATATAAAAAGCAACACTAACTACTTCACAGCAAAGAGCCTATTGTAATCGAACTATATATACATACACAAAATTAAAAAATTGCACCAATAACAGGGAGGATAGTGAACTAGACCGAATCATCACTGCTGCTATAGCGTCCCGATCCATCCTGACTGATCAAAACATGCAAGTCTAATAATGTTCAGTGCATTTCAGATGAATACATACACATTTTTCGAAGAAAAAAAGGGGGAAGTTGGAAAAAACTACATTAATATTATAAAAAAACAATATTAATAAAACATTAATTCAAAAGATTAATAAAAACTATAATAGTAAAACTATAATATAGTTGTGTCTTTAATTTTCTCACTGTGAAGACATTAAAAACTGGGTTACTGCAGTTTTGAGGTCAGTGCATAGTGCTCTGCACCATGTAAATTAAAGAGACAGTTCAGAGTTTTGTGGCACCATTATGGATGCATTATTACTGCTGTACATTGTCTTCATTAGTGCCGTATTTAATTCAGGAAAAGGTCCGAAGAGAAAACTGCATCAGGCACTCATTAACAATCACTGTTACATAAGAATTTAAGACTTGACAAATGCTTTAAGTAAAGATTATGACAAGTCTTCAGTGATGGCTTACATAAGACCCCTCTGGTGTAATAATCATACAGTACATACTGATTACTGTTCGCTCTGAGTGGGCCGCCTGTTCTCAAACACTAACTGCATTTGAGCATGTCATGCTTATTTAAAAAGCAACTCTGTATAAGTGCGTTTTAAAATCTTGTACTTGTTATGAATGCAGCTAAACTATTTTCTTTGTACAAGTTTTCTGAGTGTCATTTAAGATCATAAGTAACAAGAGCAACTTGTAATACTAGTAAACATGATAGGAGTTAATTGCTAATACATGAAGGCACGTGAATACAACGTATGCTTTTCTATCCCTCACCTCGATTAGGTAGAGCTAAATTAGTTACTATAGAAAATGTTTTATTATTATTATTACTATTACATTACCGTTCAAAGGCTTAGGGTCAGCAAGATTTTTTTTTTTAAAGAAATTAATACTTTTTTCAGCAAGGATGCATTAAATTAATCAAAAGTTCACAGTAAAGACATTTATAATGTTACACAATGTTTCTTTTGAACTTTCTATTCACCAAAGGATCCTGAAAAAAAATGTACTGCAGTTTCCAAAAAGAGCATCAAGCACTGAAGACTGGAGTAATAACTACTGAAAATTCAGCTTTGCCATCACAGGAATAAATTACATTTTAAAATATATTAAAATAGAAAACAGTCATTCTAAATTATAACAACACTTCCCAATATTACTGTTTTTACTGTATTTTTGATTAAATAAATTAAGCCTTGGTCAGCATATGAGGCCTTAAAAAACAATAACAAATCCTACCAACCCCATACTGGTAGTGTGTTATCAGGGGCCAAGCACTGAAGGTGTGTAGATTGTATTGTAATTGTTGGCGTTCTTCTTCTTCCACTCTAGAAGCCTATGGTATTCCATAGAACCGTTTGCAGGAAAGTTATGAAATTAGGCACACTGATAGAGCACAGTCTGATCTGTCACCATAGTAAATTTGGAGTCTCTATCTCAATCCCTCTAGTGCCACCTTATGCTAATAACTTTTGAACCGTAAAGTTTAGACAGAATTTTTTTCCCCCTCTGAATCCTTGGCTCATGCATACCCAAATTTAAAATTCTATGCGTCAACATTTTTCACAATTTTTAATAGTTCGAAAAACCTACTTTTTCTAACTCGCCCTAAACCGTTTGTCAGATTTTCACCAAAATTGGCCCAGATAATTTTCAGACCATGCTGGCAAAAAGTTGGAATGGAATTCAAGTTGATTAGTCAAACCATTCTCAAATAACGGTGTAAACAAATTTGACAAAGAGCACGCAAAAATGGATGTGAGGCTATATCTTGGCAATGGTTTAGCGAGACCCAACTTGGTGTGTGTTATAATAACCATGACCTGAGGATACATGCACAATTTAAGCGCAGGGCCACCTAGTGGTCAGGAGATATGAAAAATTGCTATTTTTGCTTATAACTTCTGAATGGTTCGGCCAAAAAAT